AACCGATAGTACTTTTAAAAGTACTAATTATGAAACATTAAATAAAATTAAAACCGTTGTTCCTTTTCAGTTACATTTATTAATATCGTTATTGTATCTTTATGTAGTATTAATTTATTAAGAAGGTTACATTTATGTTTCACTTTAAAGTATAAAACACAATTTATTTACTTTTCCTTTTTAAAGTCTGTAATACCGAATGTTCTTTTAAGAGAAAACATTTTTTTATTATTTTTTACCTAAAATAAGCTCTATGCACTATTATATAGGGCCCCTGAAAATATGAATGCAAAAGAAAATCTCTAACATAGAAATTTTTTTACTCGAAGTGCTCGGCGTTTACTACTTCAAATTATTCGTTCTTCTGAAAGCACATTCGGCGATACTTAGAAGTCGACACAATTTACTCTTCGGTCTTACGAGGTTAAAAACCCTTACATTTCCCTTTCTTTTACTCAAAGAAAATAAGGAAGCTTACATGTGACATGTGAACCAAACACAAGTAATATGAAAACCATCAAAATTACATTTACTGTGGTTCAGAAGCTGTGAATTATTATTTAATTATTGATGATCCACATACAGAATAGTAATAAAAACACATTTTATGTAAAAAAAATATTTGTTCAATCATTTTAATTGGAGTAAGACGTTGCTCCACTTACACTAAATCATATAATTTTTAAAAATTAACTGCTATTGTCATGCTCTATTACTTCTCTCATAATATTGTTTGTGGAATAAACACCCATCTGGTGTTGTGCAATAGGAAGTGAATGCTCATCCTTGAGCTTGACTTTGTCATGTGTTCATTCACACTATTTTGAAGCACACCTGGCATTCAATTAAACCATAACAAAACCAGTGTTTTATTATTAAGTTAAGAGTATGACTTGAGTAAAGAGTTTCAGTTCTTTTTAAATATTTTGTATGTTCAAATTTTTAATTAGTATGTTATTTCAATGTTCATCCATTAATTTTTAGCCAAGAATCATTATTAAAGTAAAATGTACTTAATCAAACTTTAAGGTACGTACGTACGTATGTCATGTGCTAACAAGCAACCTAAATAAATACTTGTATCACAAATAATAAACACAAATACAGATGAGTAAAGAAGTATAAAACTGTTTTTTCAGTTTCAAGAGTATTATCAATAAATGGCTTATTCCAATATGATTCCATCGGTGGAATAACCCCAACAAACCACTAGTTCCTGATTATAATCGTACAATAATTTAGCTGTATTTTAATCATTGTTAATTAATTTACTTCGTCAAATCAACGCGATTTTCAAATCATAAATAATATCCTTCCTACTTACTACTTTTATAAATAAAAATGCTAAAGTTATCTACTGGCTTACAGAAGGGAAAATGGTTTTTAATGCAACATTAGTACTTTTTGTTAAAAATGCTCATGAGATGATGAATTTTAGAATTTGCATTTAAGGTGCATTTTCATAAAATTATCATTAGGGTTGATAAAATCAAACTTTGTTAATTTATTAGTAAATAGATAAGGTACCTTGACTATTTTATGCATTGAATTCTGATAATTTTATACCAGCATTCAACCTAGATACGTCAGAAGTATGTCAAGTCAGTTGAGACCTTGTTGGGCAAGTGGATGTTTTATGCTAGAAGTTAATTGATGTGTCACGTTAAATGGTCGTACGTGACCATACGAGTGCGTGTCGACTAGAATATTATGGTAAATTAGCAACCCATTGATCAGAAATGTGAAACGCTTTATATGGCAAGATTGATGAATATTACATTTGGCAAAATGAGATTGTATTAATGATTTTCATTTTAATTCGATAATCGTTGAACATTCTTTATTTCTCGTATGTTAACAACACGCTGTTAGTTTTTTTCCCAGTTTTTATCGTGACTTATAAATACAAGTATTATGACAAATGGCTTGTTAACAGTTTTTTAGATGTTTTTGCAAGTTCCATTTTTATGTTTCACTATGTGCACATTTAAAATATTTTTTATTTACCTATTTATCCACCACAACACACCAAACTAAACACCGGCATCAAATAATGTATATTTTGATGTTGTGTTTACTACATAATTCACGTTTGTCGTAAACGTTGAAGAGCTGGTCGATGAGACGGTGTATTCTGTAATTCTGTTTTTTTAATTATTTTATTTTTTAAATATTTTGCCCGTGTATTTATTTTGTCAGATGACTGACGGAGCACGCGAAGAGCGATGCTATCGCTGATATCGCAAAAGGTACAAACTGACGCCGCGTCTGTCCTATTGCACGGTAGACACATTTATTGAATCGGCAAAAGCTTCCAATAGCTTCACCATAGTATAATAATGTACATCGTAGCTTCACTTCGATTTTGACTTCGGTGTGCGCTTGCGCGATCCTTGACCATAAACACTATTTAAATAAGTACCTATCAAAATCATAAAAACTTGTTGTTTATGATTCATTTTTGTGACAAAAGCTAAAACAAGGGAGTTAATGTACCTACCTAATTTTATTAAAGTTAGATTTAAGCTAAAATATTCGTGTAAAAAACAACATTATTATAGTCTGCAAATCTGAAACGGGCACTACCTATTCCGCAACTTGATATCTGTATTTTCGCTTCAATTATCGTATCGCTCTCGTTTACGATATAATATTTTTATGTGCATGGAGACAGAAACAGTCTAAAATATGAAAATTATGTTACAGAGCTCTGCTGATAGCAAATAATTTTCAATTAGCAATTTATTATACACCACCGATGGTATCTTCTTTTACACACTTAAATTTTCAATATTAGAAGGATTCGTAAATGAGATAATAAACATCCAACTTTAATTTCAACCCATTTTATTTTAGTCGTCATCACTTGACATAATTACAGTTTCAAAAAGCTCTCTAACCAAATTACAGTGTATTTATAGGGCGCTCTTTTACAAATTTGAATATTTTAAAACACATTAAAGGTGTTCGTGGGAAAAATACGATGACACGCGATTTCGTCTTACCTAACTTTTTTATCGTGAAAGTTTTTGGGCGTTTTATTAACTCGTGTGAAAAGCTTATTCTAGTACGAATACAAACATTGATAGTATGAATACCTCTCGCATAAAAGTATATTTTTATAGCGTTACAAGACAGCCAAGTAACTTTGTTATTTTTGGTAATTAAGATTAAAATTCACTGACGTTGCTAAAAAATGTCGGTAAAATTATGTCAATCAAAAAATCAAATCAAAGAATAAATGGCCGAAAAATTGTATTATTATAATTTCCAGGTACTTATTATTACAAACAATATTTTTACTTACTTTTTACACACGAATAGTGCAAGCTAAAAAGCTTGTAAAAAAGCAAAGCTTTACATCAGTCTTTTCTTTTTAACCTGTAGTTCAGGGCTTCCCTGTTGTTCAGGGCTTGCAAAAAATTCAGGGCTTCCCAAACAGTGCGTTGCAAAAAATGACAGTCCCAAGGGCGTCACCGTAAGAAAAAGTTTGGGGCGCCTTGCTGTACTTAATATCTTTCATGAATGGCCACTGGCCAGTATGCAACCGTAATTAAATCAAGAGTCGTCTCAGTAGGTGATATGTGTATCGAGGGTCAGAGATCGGCCGTTCCCGCTGCCGACAATTAGTGCCAACTGGGGTCATGTAAACCTGGCTTGACGCTCACTTTGCAACTCCCACGTAATAATTTAGTTCGTTTTGATTTAATGAGATACGCATGGCGCGTGATGTGGTAGAATTAGATCGGACCATTTCTAGCATCGTCGAACTTCTTAGTCATAAATGGTCATAGGTGGGGATTCTTATCTTGTCATAAAAAATGAAAGGTAAATAAAAGGGGGCGTTACCTCGCCGTGTTTACAAAATTGTTACCCTTTCAGCACTACGTTTAAACTTAGGGACTACACATCAAACAGAGAATGGGCAGCAGCGCTCTCTGAAAAACATCAATCTTTTAAACTGCGATCTCCAACCCGCCTGCCAAGCGTGGAGATTATGGCAAAACCCTCCACTATAGTGGAGGAGGCTCATAGTCCAGCAGTGGACTGTAAAGGGCTGTTGATGATGATAATGACCGTTAATCACTTTCTCTACACTTGATAGATCCACTTTTTTTATCTATGTTATAACTTTTATAGAAAATACCTTTTAAAGAAACTTAATCTTGAACTGTTTGGTAAATTAGACTACACTGCAGGAACTTGCAACATCTTGCAAAAATTAACCTCCTCCAAATGCTCCTGATGACTTCACGTTTTATTATTTAAATTGAATTTTTTTTTGTATCCAGAGTTCGAAAACCTAAGTTAAATCTCCTACATAATTATTATCCAAGATAATATCAGCTCTTTACATCTCTACAACTTCACTTGCTTTATCCTTATCACGAAGAAAATAACTAGAATAATCCCGACACTTCGAGTGTTGCTGAGCCTAGCGATGAGTCTAATGTTGCCCCGCCTGAAAAAAAGAAACAGTAGGCAAATGATCAACACATTCTGCACATGGTCAACAAGAGCTATCATAATTATATCTATGACAAAACGGGGCCCTGGCATAATGGCCGCAGGGAAAGTCTGCTGAATAAATTCAGGAAGCAAAATAAATTAAGTATGTGCACTGCAGTGCAGCACTTGTCAGAGCTTGACTTAAAGAATCACGCTATAAGTTATCTACTTAGCTTAATGGATTCTTCCTATCCTATCCCAAAACAGCCGTTCCTGTATAATCGGTCTGCGGTTCCTGCAGCAAATTGTAAATTTTAACATGCTATTTTTATTCGAACAGCTAGTCATGCGTAATGTGAACTGTTTCGGTTTACAGCTGGGTAATTAACTGTTTTTATATCATTGCGTGTTTTATCGCGGCAGTTGGGCGAAAGTCTGTTTTGAACTGCTCTTTACATATGCATATCTTGTGCGTTCGTCCAGAATCTATGTTCTTTCCCATATTTACACCATTTGAAATTTCGAAGACTAAAAGTGCGTTTTTGTTACAGGGGCTGGCGAGTCGGGAAAGAGTACTATAGTCAAACAAATGAAGTGAGTATAATTTTATTGATAATTATTTGTTGTTACTTTTCGTGTCGTGGACTCGTGATACATGCCCAAGATTTATAGGCAAATCTCAGTTAAAACATAACTTATTACCTTTTAACAAAATAGTCATTTCTGAGTAAGACAATGTAACTTTTATGCGCTTTGAATTGATGAGAGAAAGATGCAATATCGAAAAGTTAAAGATAACGTTCACACAACTAATCAATAGATTCTCCCAATCAATACTATCGGTATTAATCTATCATATCAAGGAACTTTATTAATTGTACGTTACGCATTAGCATTGTATTGTTGTAGTTTACTGCCATTAATCAATATTGTGTAGTCTTATATGCCATCCAGTGATTACACAGGTCAACAAAAAATCAAAATGAAAATGGTGCCGAGATTCTATTGATAGTTTATTATTAGGTGTGTATTAGTAATAATAAAAATATTTTTCTTTTNAGTAATAGGCATTCGGAGATATCTGTACATATATTAAAATTTGCTATAGGCTTTACTGTAAGAGGATGCCTGAACAAATAGATTCAGATTTACGATTGTGACTAAACTTAGTTTGGCTAATTTTGTCTGTTGTATCTTGTCGTAGTTACAAGAACTTAAAGGCAGAGTTGCACCACCTAAGTTTGACCGTAACTATAACGTTAACCGGTGTTTTTTGTATGGAGTTTCACAGATTTTTGACGTTTGTCAAAGTTAAAGTAAGATGGTGCAACCCAGCCTAAGCACTACGCATTTAAGGTTTAATCTGAACAATATGTCTCGTTATTAGGGTTCCACGGACCGAATAGAGAATGATAATATAAAGATAGATTCACAAACAAACAAACTAACCCATTAGCAATAACTTATTGAATAGACATTGTGTATCCAAGAACGGGGATCATGACATTGAAAAATGTAATAGCCATTGGAAATAATGTATTGGGTATTAATGTGATTGTGGTTGATCTTTCGATCTGAAATCAACTTTAACGTTACAAACAGCCCAAATATTTTAACAGATGAACTCATAAAATATTAGGATGATAATACTATTAAATAATTTGACTTTTTATAATTTACTTCGTTCGTTCGTTCGTTTCAGCCGAAAGACGTCCACTGCTGGACAAAGGACTCCCCCAAGGATTTCCACATAATTTACTTACCTCATTAAAATAAGGCAAAAGCAGTTCAGTTTCGTTATGCATCTTCAATGACTGGTCCAGCGGCCAGCTATCCACCAAAAAGGCTCCATCCAAGGTTGCGTTATACGCCCACAGCTTATCCAATAAATCTTCAGGCACATTTCCATAATCTGGGTACATAACGTTGTAGTCATTTACAAGACCCAAGTACAACCCAGACGAAGGCGACTGTAGCATATACTCTTCGAATTCACAAACGATGTTGAAACAGGCCGTTCGAACATCTGTCGTATTGGACCCAACATCGTCCGTTTTGTTTTCTATTTCTTCTTTGATGTAACGGATCTGGAAAAGGCAGGCCAAAAAGAGTAAGATTTCATATTTAAGTTAATATAAGTTGCTAAAAATGTTGGCCAAAACCTGTAATTGATATATTTTCTCTTTGAAGCCAGGAAATAGTTATTTTAAGTGTGAATTTGTCATGTCAGTGAATTATTGTAAGAACTGTAAGAAAAATTTCAAGGCCCAAAAGTGTTAAAAGGACAGATAAGCTTTTTCTAAGAAACAGAGCTGAAAAAGAGAAAACTAACAAAAAAGAAATAACGGTTACAATAACACATATTTTTTTCACGAAGATGAAAGTTATGAAATGGCCAAACTTATCTTCCAAACAAATGATAAATGAGCAAGTATTTTATAAAGATTGTTATTATACTTTTGGACGTTGACACTTACCTACCTATTCACTTTTATAAGTACCTAAGTATCATTTGAGAGGCTGTTTGAATGTTATTAATTTGATAGAGCAAGTTGCCTAAATTCATTCAAGTCTCTAGACTATTTCATTGGGGTTTTTGACCTTACTTGATTAACTTTAAAATACTTTTTTTAATATCAATCAGTAGGTTTTCGATGTGATTTCAATCCTTAAATACTGCATTTATTAAATTCAATTCTGTTTCCTCATAATAATATTAATAAGTTATTTCTTTTTTTTCTTTCTGCCCATGAAGTAGTTAATTATTTCTTCGTAGACGTGACATTATTGTGTGTTTGAGCATATTATTGCTAATCAAATAAATGTAGGCACATCCGTTACGTGTCATATTTGATTCCGACGCTACTTATTTGTTTTGTTACGAACAGACCAAACCATTGCTGGTGTACTGACGGCAGTACATTAAGCTGAACACTGTAGCTCTTAATTCAATTGTTGTAGGTGCGATTTTGCAACATAAATCTATATTCTGATCTGATCTGTACCTATCTGTGTCAATGCAATCAAAATGGCCTATTGATGCGTGAATAATAGATACAAACAATTAGTTAACCATTTACAATGGAATAAAATAACTGTTTGCCCGATCTGTACAAATGAAATCTACAGGGTGACTTTGGTGAACTACAGGGAGTGGCTAAATTTTTACGAGCAAAATCATTCTTTCTATTAATTTCGTAATTATTTATTTTTATCCACTGCGTGCGGTTTCGAAATTGGCACACGTAGATATTTTACTTCGTTCATAGAAAAATACAAACACCCAGTTAACTGCAAAGTTTAATAGATATTTTAAAATAATAATAAGCCCCTTAATATATGGAATGAAAGAATAAAATAAAATAATGGGCACCCACGAATTATATTTTTTTCGATAAATACTACGATTCAAAATAATTTCGATAAAGTTATATTGTTATTTATTCTACAGAGCTTATCAAAAGTTTTTGGCAACTGTTTGCAATTTCACCCTGTATACACATATACGTGGAATGTTTTTGTAAATCTCTGGAAGGATACAGTACTTAATTTGATGTCATGCGCCTCGTTGAGTAGGTAAAGTCCACTGTAGTGCTGACTATACACTTTTATCCCAAAGTCGGCCCTATTACAACTACGTAAGATGTACTATAGCTTGATGTGCCCTCGTCTGTACATTACGTAATCCTGATGGAGGTATGACAGACTGTTTTACGAGGTAAACACTACATAAATCCCAGACCGCAGTCGTGTTCTTAGAAAAAGTTACTTTCCCGGCAGATTTAATTCCAAAATCGCTGCGCTACGTTCTTTTGGTAACATTGCGATGTGAACCAGGAACACTAGGAACTGCAGAGTGCTGATGAAACTAAGATGCGGAAATGAGGAATGCGGAAGAAAGGGGCGCGTCTTCGTGGATGAAATAAATAAATATAAATAATAATAATAAATAAATAAATAATTTATTCATTAAAATAAGACGATCGATCGAACGAAACGATCTATATTGGCAATTTAATACTTACATAAGGTGCTATATGGGGTACAAATCTTTTCCCTGCGCTCTTTACGACTTCGGCCCCTGAATCCACTGCGTCAGCATCGGGAGTGCCATTGGAGTTGAACACAATGGGTTTGGTGCCGCAATGGCTCTCGTACGGCAAGCCAGCGAGAGTCGCGTTGGCTATGAAGGTGGTCAGTGCTTCGTCATCGTCTTCTGACATTTCGCTGTAACGAGTAAAAGTCTAATCAAAAGTCTAAACACCACTGTTTTAATTAAAATACAGTTTTCTTCTTAAGGGAAGACAAAAAATTATTTGCGAATTGCCCATTCTTTTGAGTTTGTTCCGGCGTTTCTTCTCAGCACTTGCCATATGTTTGTCTCGAAGCGCTGGTAGGGCCCAAAAGATAAGGAGACATGTAAAGTGCCCCATAAGGGCTACCTTTTTCTTTTTTTATTATTTTCTATTGAAGTTCATAAGTGCCACTTGTGGTCTAAACTGAATAAATATTTTTTGATTTGATTTGATTTGATTTTAATTGAAATAACCTCTTTTAAGGTGTTTAGAAGGGGATGGTAAAATAATAATAATATTATGGAATTTTTAACAAGATCTTTTTCTTGTTAAAAGTACTTACATAATATTTTAACAAGAAGTGTTAGTACAGAACTTCTTTTCATCTTTCAGGAAGGAATTATGTAAATATAACTATCTTAACACATTATACAGTACTAAGAATTTCATTGATGGACAGGTGAACTATTACTATAAGTAACTTCTGATTGAATCGGAGTTTATTAACACTGAAAGTAACATTTTAAGCCTTCCGAGTACACCTAAGTCCTTGTTCGGGAAGCTTTATAACTTTAAGCTCTACCCGCCTCTTGGTGTTTGCTTCAAAGTAATTCGTTACAATACCCAAAAGACATTGTTAAACAAAGGCCTTCCTCAAGGATTTCCGTGACCGCAACTACCGGTCCTGCCCGCATCCAGGGGCTTCCCGCGACCTTCTAATAAGTCTTTAGACCGCTTAGTGCTTGTTCACGTTGACTGGCGGGCGCGGTGACGAAATATCAAACACATGTAGTGATTCCAAGTGTTCACGTACGAAACGCAGGTGCGGTCTAACTAGCGGGCAAGCTAGCGACTGGTGCGCGCGGAGCGCTCGCGGTAATTTCAACGCGTGAAGATGTTTGTGTGTGTTCATGTCAAACTAGCGCGAGCGGCGGCGCGCGCGTTTCACTCGCGACGTCAGGTAAGTTCAACCAGTTTGAACTTGTCCCTAGAAACGATAGTACGTCACACTCGCGCGAACGCCTGGTGGTTAATGTGAACACGAGCTAATGCAGTCAGAAGCGCGACAGCAGTGTGGCAGCAGCGATTTTATAAACTTCTAATGACTTGGCCCACTTTTAGTTTGGTCCACGGGCCAAATCGCTGGTTTGAATTTTTACATAGTTTTTCTACCAGTGACTCGTTGTTAGTTTATTTTGTCACAAAACTAGTAGATTTTCGCTAATCCGGAATTAATTAATGGTTTTAAATAATTATTTATTATATTATTATTATACATTAATTAATTCCGGATACAAA